GGCTTCCAAAGAGAAAACTCCAGTAGCAGCCACCCCTCTGCATTTTTATGCTTTTCATGTAATTCTCACTTTGACTCTATGAGGCAGGTGCCACTATTGCCCCCCGTACATGAAAAGCAAAGGCTTTAAGAATTGTGTAATTTACCCTAAGTTGGAGTGACCAATGGCAGGGCAGGGACATGAGCGCAGGAGTCTTAGTAACAGTTTCTACTTTTTGCTGAAATGGGATGCCAGCCTCCTCCTCACCAAGCACACCCACTTCTGTTTTTCCTACCTTTATCCTTCCCTTTGCCTGAATTTCTGTGTTTACTCACTGGAAGTTCAGTTGTATCTTGTTATATATTGTTAGTCAATTTAAATTCTTGGTAGGAAAAAAGAGAGGAATATGCATTTTTAAAAAAGCAAGTATCTTTTTCAAGGGAATCTGGAGATGATGTGCTGTGACACACCAGGTTCTGGTTCCTGTGAACTAGAGACCCACCTGGACTCTCAGTTGAGCGATCTGAGGTTAAGGTCAAAGTCGCAATGCCCTCACTTGTAAAGCAGTGAGGTTACTATTACCTATCTCATAAGGTTATTTTAAGATTAAGCACAATAGTATATCTGAAGTGCTTGGTAGTATCTTGCCTTTTACACAGAAGGCACCTAATAAACATTTGTCATCATTTTTTTAATGTTTTGTTATGATTTTTAATTTTTAAAATTTTTTGGGGGGGGAGTTATTAGGTTTATTTATTTTTATTGAAGGCACTGGGGATTGAACCCAAGACCTCATGCATGCTAAGCATGTACTCTACAACCGAGCTATACCCTCTCCCTCCATCATCAATTGTTTTTGTGCTGACAACGAGACAGGCAGTCCAGTAACAGCGTCCTGGGCTGGGAGAGTACAGCCTTCTTCATTCTAAGTTGCACTCTGTTCCATTATGTAACTTTTATTTTTCTCAATTTTTAAGTCATCAATATGAGACAACCTTTTTTTTTTCCAGATTGAATGGATTCTTAAAGCTTTGGGAAGACACCATCTAAGTTAATTCTGTAATGATCAGGTTACAAATATTTTATTTTATTATTCTGAAGACAGACAAAATAGCATTGAAGTCAGCACCTACGAATCTCACAGGAAAGCAATACCTATCTTGGGATGACTAATTTCGGGTGCTTGTGTCATGCTGGGGTATCTTAGTGTGATTAGAAAGTCCCAGGGGACAATGCTTAATTGGTCATCGCTGTGGTAGAGAGGCTTCCTTGGCCAGTCAGTAAAATTTCTATATGGCTACATAGTTCTCTGCTGTGACTGAATTCTCTTCTCATTTGAACTCAAATTTGCAAAGAAGCACTATATTTTAAGTTTTGACTTTAAGTTTTAAAATATATTTTATGGTCCAGGACTAGAGCAACATACTTAAGCACCTCTGAAAAGTCAGGGGTAGATGATCTGTGTAAACTCAGTTAGGGGTCAAAACAGCCAGACCTTTTCCAGTGAGAAGAGCTGAAGTGACATGTCTTGGAAAAGCTTTCTCTGGAGACCCCTTACAGTAACAGGAACAAAAATGTTGGTTCTCGGTCAGTTTCTCGATAAAGAAAATTTCCTGGAATATCTCAGGGCTTTGCCATACCTTATACCCTTTCATAACAAAGAAAGTTTTCTTAAGCATTCCACATAGAAAGGAAAAGCGAATTGAGAATGTTACTTACCAATGAGATAAGTGGGCTTATAAACTATTAAGAGCTGCAGAAATCTTACGCTACTAAAATAGTCTGATTTTTAAAGAATGACTCTCAACTGTTCCAAACACATCAAGTATTTTCTCGAACGTAAGCCCACCCACTTGTGATGTGTTAGGACCTGAGGCAAGACTGAAGTGGAGGTTGGGGACCTCTCCTCCGGCTCTGTGTCTGCCCTGCACCATGGAGGGCCTTGCTTGCTGGCCTGTGGACGCCCAGCCCTGCAGTCAAGCTGCCTCCTCCCCCAAAGCACACAGATGAGCTTGGCTCCCTGGGACCTGAGAGTGTTCACATCAGAGGTTTGGCTCATCTTCTCGACCACTGTAGTCACCTGGAAGCTTGTTAGAAATACAGAATTCCAGGCCCCATCCAGGCCTACTAAATGGTAATTGACTTTTTCATAAAACCTCTCGGCGATTTGTAGGCAGGTTAGAATTCAAGAGCTTCCGCTGTTATGGGAGGCTGGGGACAGGGGCCCCGTCTCTTAGGTGTAAGAGAGGCCCTATTAAAATGCTTGGTTCCCCTCTTGACTTCTGAAGGGATTGAGACGATCCTGGCCAATGATCAGTTCTGTTCAATTCCTGGTTGGACTTAAGGTATGTTTCAAATTACAGCTGAGTTTTCACCTTATAGATACATATTTAAGTTTTTCGGTCAGGTCATTTTTCCTTACGCTGCTTTCTTATTTAGAATGCACCCCACCCACCCTACTCTGTCAGTCTCACTAAGGTGGCCGCCTCTCCTCTGAAGCCTGTCTCAATGCCCCCTGAGGAAGACCTTCCGTTGTGACCTCATCATCCTTAATCCAAACCTCTGGTAGACCACTTGGCGACTTCTGCTCTGGTCGTACAACTGAATCCCCCACGAGACCACCAGCTCCCTGAGGTGGGAACTGAGTCCCATTCGGCTTTAGAGCCTCCATAACTCATAGCCGAGCCTACGAGATTTTAATAAACTTGTGTGAATTAAATCTGAGTCCTCGAAGTTCCTTTTCAGTGGCTCCTGCAATTCTCTGCTTGTGCCGGAAAGGAAATTCAAACAGCTCTGCTATTTATTTATTTTTTAAAATTAAATTAAATTAATTTTTTTTTCTGTGGAGGGAAGTGATTAGGTTTACTGATTTATTTTTTTAGACGGGGTCCTGGGGATTGAACCCAGGACCTTGTGCATGCTCAGCACACGCTCTACCACTTGAGCTATACCCTCCCTCCCGCTCTGCCATTCAGTGAAGGTAGATTTTACTCATAAGTCTTATTACATTTAGGAAAGGGTATATCTTTCATTACTTTCAGGCAAAATTGTGCCTGCGACTGAGCTGGTGGTCACTAGGGGGAGGCAAGGGCCCGGCCAGTGGTGTTTTTTGATGGGAATCCCTGAGCAGTTAGTTCCTGCTCTGTGAGTGTCATAGTGTTCAGATGGAGGAATTGCTTGAGCTTGGAAAGTACACATTAAGTCAGATGGAACAGAGTTGAAGAAAAAGAAGCATGGGATTCAAAAATGCAAACAAAAGGTAAATGTCTTGGCCTGGCCTCAGCCTTTGGCTCCCAGAATCCAAGGATCATAACTGGGGAGTCAAGGAGGGTGCAGAGAGGGTGCAGGGACTCAGAATTGGGGGCCTGGGCTCTAGTTTGGGCCCTTCTGCTCATTAACTGAGCAGCTGAGAAACTCACTAAAACATTTTTGGGTCTCTGTTGTCACATCTGAAGCGTGAATAGTCGTTGAGTGCTTCTTCCAGAGATGAAAGCCAGAATAATGTGGGCGGGAGGGTTTATTTAAAGACACCTGGCCGGGTGTGACGCCCAGAAATGCATATTTGTTGGTTTATGATGGGCCCCAAGCACAATGTGTCTTTCTGATATTTATTTCTGGTTCAGTATCAGTAAATGAGATGCTCTCTTAACATTCCTTCGAGCTCGAACGTTCCCCACTTTAATGACTACTAGCCTCATAGAGGCTGCGTCCTTACGAGTCTACGTGTCTGGCAGACACCGCTGGCTGTACCCTTCTTCCTGCAGGAACACAAACCCAAAGTTTCAGCTCGGCACACGCCTTCCAGAATAACAATTACATCTCCCAGCTTTCCTTTGGGTACCACCATGGACTACGTTCTGGCCAAACGGGAGTGGGATGTGCAGATTCTGGGAGTGCCCTTCAAAGACAGAGGAGTGCTCTCTTCCATCCTCTTGCTGACCAGATGCATCTCAGATAGTGGGAGATGGACCAGCCGGGTCAGTGCCTGACCTGGGAGCTGCAGCGGGAGATGGGAGAGAACCTGGACCCGATACCACACGCAGTGTATGTCGGCCAGGAACTTTCTAGACCCCGGCTTCCCTTCTGTGTGAGAGGAACACATCGTTATCTAACTAAAGACACTGTTATTTTGGTTTTATGTTTCTTCCAGCCAAACCTATTTCAAGCTAACACAATGTGGAGTACGAAAAAGACTTCTGGACTCTCAACCTGCGTGTCAGCATGAATTGGAATGTCTGTTTACTGTGGCTTTCTGTTTTCTACTTCTGCAAGTGCCGTATGTCTATATGACAGAGAACAATACTGTATTTCACACAGAGCACTTCTTTTGTAGCCAGTGATTAATGGAGAAGTATCACGATTTTAGGAAACATAATTATTTTTATGATTTTACCTTATTCTTTACAAATATGTGTTATTTCCTTGGTATACACTATATATATTATATAGATATATATCTATATATAATTTTTGTCCCCCAAAATGTTAGTTACCATTAATTTTGCATGAAACTTAGTGGGTCTTGAACTACAGTGGAATACCAAGCGAAACCATTTAAATAACATACAGTCGCCAATAACTGTTATCACTGGCAAGGAGCAAACACGTAGTGTTGAGTTTTTAAAATACTTCTACATAGTTTTCAAAAGTTTGTGCTTTGACATCTTGGGCATTGGAACAAGCCTTTAATCTTGTAACTTCCCACGTGTAGTTGAATGAATACACACCTGCACACACACACCATATGCAGGCACTGTGATGGAATTTGTTTCTTGTGAATTTGCATTTGGGCTGTGAAAAATGACCTTTAAAGACTTTGAAAGTTTCTGGTGGGGGATGGGGATGAGGGGCAGGGATGGGAGGCTGGAGAAAGACAAATTATGTGTGTATATGTATATACAAAATTCAAGACATAAGATCTGCCAAATTCTGGAATTAAAAGTCAAGTGAATGATCTTCTCTATTTCCAAACCTTTCTTAATTAATAATGGTAAAGTTGCCATGGTAAATATTTCAGGTCATTTAACAAGCCAACTCTCTTGCACACACACACACACACACCCATCCATATTGCAAAGCAAACTCATTCTCACACACAGAGTAGAAACTAAACCAAATCAAACCATCAGGAACAATGATTGGGTGGGGACAGGAAATAGAGGCTTTCTCGAGGCACTCTTTTTACCTTCATTCCTCTCCTCTGGGTTAGTGTAGATGGAAGCCAGCGTAAACAAGGAAAAGATGACAAAAGCCAATAGAATGAAGGCCATCTCCAGGTTGGTGAATGGAAGCTCCATGAAGCACCACAAACTTCCTCACCTGCAACAGAAACCCGACCTTGGCTTAGCGCACTCCAGTCCAGACACAGCTTGTCGAGCAGTAATTTTAGAACGAGACTTAGTAGACCTGTTAAATCACTTCTGTGCACCTGGAGCAATGACTCTGGCACCGAGAAAGATGGAGCGTGCTCTCGTTTTTGGAGATTTGGCATCACTATTGGTGTAAGTGGGCTTACACTTTACCGTGTAGGTTGGGGGAGGATGGGGAAGTCGAAATGGCAAAGTCAATTCATGTTTATGATATTTGTGACCTTTTGGACAAAACTCTGGGAGTAAAGCTAGGGTGCATTTCATTTCATGACAGAAAAAAGAGTAATGTTGATACGTATCTCACTGACCACACCCAGGTTCAGAGTGACACCTCTTCTGTTCACGTGCGTGAAATCACCCGGCACTTGCTAACCAGGTGATAAATACACAATGGAAGCAATTATTAGTGAAGAAACCATAGACCTCAGTGTAGCTGGATCCAACATCACCCAAATAAAGATAAACGTGTTAACAATTCAAGCATGAGTTCAGATCCCAAAAAGTAGAGCTCATGTATTTAGAAAGGAAATAGGAGAGAAATGATAACATTATCTAGTTGGAAGTAACCCCGTTCTTTCTGTCTTTCAATGTTTACTACCTAAATGGAAAATATTTAAACCACTGCAGCACAGGGAATGTTATGATTTAAGAACACCCAGAGAAAGAGATTTCACATCCTTCCACTGCAACTCATCCCAAATTCTTTATCTGCTGTCTTTTTAGGGAAAT